GCACCTGCTTAGTTATATCTTTTTTGTGAAAACCATCATTGCAGAAATAATATATGGTTATCATTGAAGGGCAAGTTGGACGTGAATGGTCTCTGAAAAGATGTTATTGAAAGCATGACATGTATGAAGACAAGACCCCTATTAAATACGCCATTTGAAATGTACTTTCACTTTCAAGTCTTAACATTTGGACAAAATAAACAGGGAAAACAACTTTCCAGAGGCTATCCAAATCCAACTTGCCCTTCATTGATAAACATATCTTGTTTCTGCATTAATGGTTTTCATTAAAAGCGCGGAATTAATTAGGTGTATTTTTTGAAAATATATGCATTTTTAAGAATTTTTCTCGATCAAAATTTTTTCCAAGTATTTTATTTATCAAGTGATACTTTCTATCTATTAATCAGTAACATATTTATAACCTGTAAAAGTTTTAATTTATACCCCACATAGTTTTGGGGTTATTGTAAAAATAGATTTTTGGACATGTTGACCTTTGACGAAACCTTAACACCCCTTATATACTCCGTATGCAGGTGATGAAGGTATATTGCTGCATAAGTAAGGGAAGTTGATAGAAAAGTTAAAGTCATCCCATTTATCATATAGCTTGGTTGTTAGATTACCATATCCTATTTGTATCAAATTTAATCGCGTTTTTGTTTTCATTGGATATATATACTGACACCTAAAAGAAACGCAACGCCATTCTTAAGGGGGGAATAATTATGTAAAGTAAAGATTTTTGTATCTTAAAATTAAGAATATCTTCAATTTGGTAAACATCGGTAATTTAACGGTTGAACGATTTCCATACCATAACCTGAAATCAAGTTCGAGTCTGCTTAACAAAAATTAAAAATTGCATGTTTAACAAAATATTTGGCAATATTATGGAGATTTAAGTGTTTTTTACTGTTCATCATAAGTAATGCAACAATATTTAAAAAAAAACAAGCTAATTCAGAGAATTCGTGTCCCCCGCTTAGGGAAAAAGTCGGCTCCCCCTGACTGAATTTGTAGAATTATAAAATGTATACATGTATAGTTTGTATACTGAAGCAAAAAAAAAAAAATACATGTATTTCAATATGCATATAAAGATTTGATTGCTTATTTTTAATTATGTGTATAGAAGATTTTTTATATGGAATTTTTATCACACTGTAATGATGATTTTTTAACCTCATAAATTTTTCATTTCACATGCTGAATACTATCATTTAGTAAAAAAAAAGTATATAAAAAAAAGAAAGGTTCGACCGAGATTCGATCCCGGGACCTCTCACATTTGAAGCGAGAGACATAACCACTAGACCACGGAATCGCTTTACGCGGTATGAAGTATATGCAGAAGTGAAGTCACATACATGTATATATTCATGTTTTCATGTTCGGTATTCTCAAAAGTTTACACAATCCATGGTGTGTGATTTATTTAGCCTTTATTAAACCTAGGGAGTTTTGATATAAATTTACATTGCATAAGCTCAAAATCTTGAAATATCGCCCGGAAATAATAGTTTTACACACAGACAGAATATATAAATTTACGACCTGGAACTTTGACCTTTTGACCTCAAAATCAATAGGGGTCTTTATTAGGCCACAGGGAGTTGCTATATAAAATTTCATTACAATAGCTCAAATGGTTCTAGAGATATCGTGTGGAAACGAAAGTGTTTAAACAGAGAGAATTTGCTTATTTTTGACCTTGACCTTTGACCTTTTGACCTCAAAATCAATAGGGGTCTTCTGTAGTCCATAGGGAGTTGCTATGCTAAATTTCATTGCAAAAGCTCAAAGGATTCTCGAGATATCGTGTGGAAACGAAAGCGTTACAGACAGACAGAAAGACGGACGGACGGACAGACGGACGGACGGACAAACCCAAATTAATATCCCCCACTTTTCAAGCGGGGGACAATAAACTCTCCTTTCGTTTCTCGTAACGATGCTAAGGCTACTTGAAAATGGCTTATGTACACATTTCCATATTTCAATGTAAAGGTAATGGAGAGATGCTGATGAGAAATTTCACTAGATTACGCCTCAACAGGGTCTTACGTATCATATGCATTAGGGACAGTCCTTGTACCTGAAGTCCAAGGGTGGCTACACTGCTCTAAGTTAGAGAAAATTCGACCTAATCATCTGGAAAAATGGCATTTAAAAATGCCAAAAAATTATTCCTTCGCTCAGATATCGGTATTAATAAACCTATTGTATCGTGGAAATTCAGCTGCAATTGTTGTTTAGGACAGTCTTGCATGATTTTCTTGAATGTCTGGGAGGGGTGTTTTAACCGTCATATTTTAAAGTAAACAGATAAACATTAAACATTTTTATCAAATCTCTGATGTTCTGAAAAGTGAGTTTAGCCTTACTTTATTCACTTTTGAAAATCATAAGAAAAAGATCAAACATTTGTAGATTACTGCTTGTTGCATTTCTTTTGCGTGTCAGTATATAATGAAAGGAAAAAAGAAACGCAAGAGGACATTGTTTAAAATTGACTATGTGGCTGCAAATTATAAAAATTGTTCAGAAGTGCACTTTGGTTAATTTACACAAAAATCGTTGTTCAAAACGACTAAACCATATGAAATGAATGGCGGCACGTGGGGAAAGTAATAAAAGGCCAAAAACTTGTGCATCTTGATGATGGAGAATTTTATAAACACAATTTGAAGTGCAACACGATGCATTAGAATTATAGAAATTGTTTTTGAATTCAGTATAAATTTCTTTTAACCTTTGTGGATACTTCGTGGATGTTAAGGAAGCATACGAGCCATTTCTCGGGAAACTTAACCTTTTTAAAGAAAATTAAGTTTGATAAATTACCATATTAACTATTGCATACAGAAAAAAGATTGTATAATGCAAATACGTGCTCCACCACCACATAACTTCTTTTAATAGCGAAATTTTCCTTAATAAAAAGACTAACAGAACAACAATACCCCGGAGTTTTTACAATTTCTTTGAGTAAATAACATAGTTGTAAAACATCTAGTATTCCTAAAAAGTGCAGCTAGAATCCCACTGTTCTGTTAGTAAAATAATTATTCCACATATTTGCACGAAACCTTATCCTGTGTTTTGAAATGTATACATTTGAATCGAGATTTTTCGTAAAACCATGCTTAATTCGGGATTCTAGCAACACTTTCCAAGTTTGTGAGAAGGCAAACTTTCCAACCGTAAAAATCTTATGTTTTGAAAAATCCAGGTTATTGTTGTTCTGTTGCATTATGTTTGCCACGAAAGGCCGACCGGGATACGTATATAGCTGACTGCCTTCGAAAGAGAAAATAATCGATGAAAATATATTTGCATACCTGTTTATTTAACTGTACTCCATTTGAATTTCACATGATATTCACGATAATTGCATTTAAACTCAAAATGTTACGTATCTTCGTACATGCCGTCCTAGCAAAATTCTCTTTACATGACATGATCAATTCCCAAGTTACTTGATGTACACATATGACACCATCGGTGGTAGATTTTAATCAAAATGACAGATAAAGCTTAACAAAAAAAATATTAATTTGTGTTAATGTTTAAACGTTTCTACTCATTTTTTTAGAGCTAAATTACATCTCTAAATACCAATAATACGAAATCTTTTGTTCCAAAAATGACGTCATCTCGCCTACTATGACGTCATAATGTCGCACTGATTTAGTCAAGGTAGAATATTTTGTATGCTTCCTTATTCCCACTTTAAACATTCACGCGTACCAAACCAGCTGGATTCTGTAAATTCTGTCCTAAATCGAAAATTGTGTGTCATTGGATTGTGGATTTGTTGGCTTTAGAATTTATATTTACGCTCATTTTTTAGACTACCGTCGAAAGGGTTGAATAATTATCCTATAAGAAAGATAAATGCGCTGATGAACTCAATGCACAGGAGAATAAAGGCTGTAACTGATCTGCACGGGAGATGATGAGAATTTTCTGGGGTATCGACATATCAATTTCAATAACTCATGAATTCACAGTCAAAGTCACACAAAATTTTGGTAATTTGTTGATTAAAGATGAATTAAGATGTTTGATAATAAATCTGGGAAAACATATCTAAAAAGATAGTTTTAATTTAATTCAAATGTTTACTATTTCTTTTTTTCAGTTTAGTTTGATTTGCCTTGCAGAATCCAGAAGTGAATTTATTTGTGCTTTCTGTATTAATATCTCTTCACTTAGGGCAGTTATGTTAGTTTAAGAGTTGTTGTAAACTGTGCTTTATAAATAATAATTAATTTCAGTACAACATGTATTGGTAACAATGCTCTGTTAAAACTAATGTCAAAATAACTGTATCTCACTTCTATTCTCAATGACCGTGTAGTGTAGGGCAGCGCCGCGAGAATTCTATCCGCATCGAAAGCAAGTTTTATGACTTGCCTAGATAGCCGAGTGGTCTAGCGTGCTGTTCCTGCACTGATAGGAGACAGATTCCGTAGGTCGATAGTTCATCCCCGGGCTGGGGCGGAAGTGGGTATCCATGTAAAAGTGAATTTCTTTGTGCTTTCTATATTAATATCTCTTCACTTAGGGCAGTTATGTTAGTAGTTATGTTAGTTTAAGAGTTGTTGTAAATTGTGCTTTATATATATATATATATATATATATATATATATATATATATATATATATATATATATATATATATATATATATATATATATATATATATATATATATATGTCAACGAGTACCCGGTTAACCGGGTACTCGATCGAACGTCCGAGTATCGAATACTAAAATCGGTACTCGGTTACTCGGATGTATAATTTTGAATATTTCTAAGCTTATTTATTAATGCATTAAACAATCTGTTTTAAAACGTAAAATGCTCATTGCACCTGTACATACAGTAATTAGGATTTACTACGACTCTAAATGACCGTTATTGCCTGTGGCAGTGTTTATACAGTAATTATCGTGACCAAGCATCTGGGGTAACTGACTTTTCTCACCTTCGGCTGGCTTCTTCCTTAATTTTTGTTTGGCTTTAATTATTTGTTTTCGTTTAAGATCCATTATGTTTAATAATTTTGTCAATTCTCCGAGAAACCGTCAGTTCTCGGGAAAAGAGCGGATGATATTACACGTCGTGCGATTGTTGATATGGTTGTGTTTGATTATATGCCAATACAACTGGTTGAAGGCAAAGGCTTGAAAAAAAACGTATGCCATCGTTGCACCAAACTACAAAATACCGTCCCGTAATATCATAAAATCTAGGATCGAAAAAGAGTACGAAAATCGTAAATCCGCTCTGTTAGGAGAACTTGATCAAGTTACGTAGCTCTGACGACTGATACCTGGTCGTCAAACGCGACAAAAAGTTACATTTACAATTACGGAGCAGATTATTTTTTAAACAAAAACACTGTGAACAACTTATGATTTTATTTCTTGTGTTTATCTGATAAATAAATATTTTTTTTTAAAAATGTTATAATAAATTTCGTCGGGCACGAAATGCTCATCATTTTTACAACAGAAATACATTTACGGATAAGCCTCCTATCAGTGCATCTGGTTTTATTTCTACAGAACAGAACACGAGTTTACAATGTTTTACAGTCCTCAATTTACTTGTTCATATTTATTTACACTTTTACCGAGTACCCGGGTACTCGATCGGAAAAACGTCCGAGTAACCGAGTATTAAAAATTGACCGATTTGACATCCCTAATATATATATATATATATATATATATATATATATATATATATATATATATATATATATATATATATATATATATATATATATATATATATATATAACTAAATTGTCGCCCATATACATGTAGTTACCTGCACTACACATATGGATAGCAAAGTCAAAGTCTACTTATCAAGTTATGAAAAAGCCAAATTTCTAGGGAAGTTAGTATTTGATTTATTACAAAGGTAGATGTCTTTTCAATAATAATTAAAATGTGGTGGTGTTTGGAAATATATTTTCAACTTCTGTTGAAACAATTATTCACAAGAAGTCGTAATTTTAATGGTCAACTCAATAAATGAATTAAAAACATAATTATCACACGTGGTTTATGTACTGGACTTATTTTCAGCAACGATCAGAATCATTATTTAAATCACTTTTGAAATCATTATTTCAATGATTATTGAAAACCTTATTTCAATGATTATTGAAAACCTTATTTCATAAGTGACATTATTTCAAAATTGCTGTATTTTCAATACATATATAATCAAATGAGCTCCACGCTACCACTAGAACCCATAACCTTGGGGCTATGAATTTTACAATATTTCAACAGTCTGACAGCTTGATACATGTATTCAGTTGTAAAACATCTAGTATTCCTAAAAAGTGCAGCTAGAATCCCACTGTTCTGTTAGTAAAATAATTATTCCACATATTTGCACGAAACCTTATCCTGTGTTTTGAAATGTATACATTTGAATCGAGATTTTTCGTAAAACCATGCTTAATTCGGGATTCTAGCAACACTTTCCAAGTTTGTGAGAAGGCAAACTTTCCAACCGTAAAAATCTTATGTTTTGAAAAATCCAGGTTATTGTTGTTCTGTTGCATTATGTTTGCCACGAAAGGCCGACCGGGATACGTATATAGCTGACTGCCTTCGAAAGAGAAAATAATCGATGAAAATATATTTGCATACCTGTTTATTTAACTGTACTCCATTTGAATTTCACATGATATTCACGATAATTGCATTTAAACTCAAAATGTTACGTATCTTCGTACATGCCGTCCTAGCAAAATTCTCTTTACATGACATGATCAATTCCCAAGTTACTTGATGTACACATATGACACCATCGGTGGTAGATTTTAATCAAAATGACAGATAAAGCTTAACAAAAAAAATATTAATTTGTGTTAATGTTTAAACGTTTCTACTCATTTTTTTAGAGCTAAATTACATCTCTAAATACCAATAATACGAAATCTTTTGTTCCAAAAATGACGTCATCTCGCCTACTATGACGTCATAATGTCGCACTGATTTAGTCAAGGTAGAATATTTTGTATGCTTCCTTATTCCCACTTTAAACATTCACGCGTACCAAACCAGCTGGATTCTGTAAATTCTGTCCTAAATCGAAAATTGTGTGTCATTGGATTGTGGATTTGTTGGCTTTAGAATTTATATTTACGCTCATTTTTTAGACTACCGTCGAAAGGGTTGAATAATTATCCTATAAGAAAGATAAATGCGCTGATGAACTCAATGCACAGGAGAATAAAGGCTGTAACTGATCTGCACGGGAGATGATGAGAATTTTCTGGGGTATCGACATATCAATTTCAATAACTCATGAATTCACAGTCAAAGTCACACAAAATTTTGGTAATTTGTTGATTAAAGATGAATTAAGATGTTTGATAATAAATCTGGGAAAACATATCTAAAAAGATAGTTTTAATTTAATTCAAATGTTTACTATTTCTTTTTTTCAGTTTAGTTTGATTTGCCTTGCAGAATCCAGAAGTGAATTTATTTGTGCTTTCTGTATTAATATCTCTTCACTTAGGGCAGTTATGTTAGTTTAAGAGTTGTTGTAAACTGTGCTTTATAAATAATAATTAATTTCAGTACAACATGTATTGGTAACAATGCTCTGTTAAAACTAATGTCAAAATAACTGTATCTCACTTCTATTCTCAATGACCGTGTAGTGTAGGGCAGCGCCGCGAGAATTCTATCCGCATCGAAAGCAAGTTTTATGACTTGCCTAGATAGCCGAGTGGTCTAGCGTGCTGTTCCTGCACTGATAGGAGACAGATTCCGTAGGTCGATAGTTCATCCCCGGGCTGGGGCGGAAGTGGGTATCCATGTAAAAGTGAATTTCTTTGTGCTTTCTATATTAATATCTCTTCACTTAGGGCAGTTATGTTAGTAGTTATGTTAGTTTAAGAGTTGTTGTAAATTGTGCTTTATATATATATATATATATATATATATATATATATATATATATATATATATATATATATATATATATATATATATATATATATATATATATATATATATATATATATATATATATATATATATATATATATATATATATATTATATAAATATATATTTATATAAATATATATATATATACATATATATATATATATATATATATTATATGTGGCATGTTTATATATATTATATATAAGCATATATATATATATATATATATATAATTTATATATATATAATATATATATATTTATATATTATATATATATATATATATATAAATCATTCTAAATATATATATATATATATATTGATATATTGTATATGATTATATATATATATTGATATATATATATATATTGCATATATATATATAAAATATAAAAAGAGTATAAATATTGATAAGTATATATATACCTGGTCGTCATATATATATTTTTTTTCAAAAAAACACTATTACGATTTTATTTCTTGTGTTTATATATATATATATATTAAATTTCGTCGGGCATGCTCATATATTATATTTATATATAGTATATATATATGTTGCATATATATATTTATTTATTTTATATATATATATATATATATATAATATATATATATATATATATATATATATATATATATATATATATATATATATATATATATATATATATATATATATATATATATATATATATATATAACTATATATATATATATACACATATGGATAGCAAAGTATCTATTATATATATTTCTAGGGATGTCAACGAGTACCCGGTTAACCGGGTACTCGATATATTTTCGAACGTCCGAGTATCGAATACTAAAATCGGTACTCGGTTACTCGGATGTATAATTTTGAATATTTCTAAGCTTATTTATTAATGCATTAAACAATCTGTTTTAAAACGTAAAATGCTCATTGCACCTGTACATACAGTAATTAGGATTTACTACGACTCTAAATGACCGTTATTGCCTGTGGCAGTGTTTATACAGTAATTATCGTGACCAAGCATCTGGGGTAACTGACTTTTCTCACCTTCGGCTGGCTTCTTCCTTAATTCTTGTTTGGCTTTAATTATTTGTTTTCGTTTAAGATCCATTATGTTTAATAATTTTGTCAATTCTCCGAGAAACCGTCAGTTCTCGGGAAAGAGCGGATGATATTACACGTCGTGCGATTGTTGATATGGTTGTGTTTGATTATATGCCAATACAACTGGTTGAAGGCAAAGGCTTGAAAAAAAACGTATGCCATCGTTGCACCAAACTACAAAATACCGTCCCGTAATATCATAAAATCTAGGATCGAAAAAGAGTACGAAAATCGTAAATCCGCTCTGTTAGGAGAACTTGATCAAGTTACGTAGCTCTGACGACTGATACCTGGTCGTCAAACGCGACAAAAAGTTACATTTACAATTACGGAGCAGATTATTTTTTTTCAACAAAAACACTGTGAACAACTTACGATTTTATTTCTTGTGTTTATCTGATAAATAAATATTTTTTTTTTTTAAATGTTATATTAAATTTCGTCGGGCACGAAATGCTCATCATTATTACAACAGAAATACATTTACGGATAAGCCTCCTATCAGTGCATCTGGTTTTATTTCTACAATAGCTTACAATGTTGCACAGTCTTCAATTTACTTGTTCATATTTATTTACACTTTTACCGAGTACCCGGGTACTCGATCGGAAAAACGTCCGAGTAACCGAGTATTAAAAATTGACAGATTTGACATCCCTAATATATATATATATATATATATATATATATATATATATATATATATATATATATATATATATATATATATATATATATATATATATATATATATATATAAATTGTCGCCCATATACATGTAGTTACCTGCACTACACATATGGATAGCAAAGTCAAAGTCTACTTATCAAGTTATGAAAAAGCCAAATTTCTAGGGAAGTTAGTATTTGGTTTATTACAAAGGTAGATGTCTTTTCAATAATAATTAAAATGTGGTGGTGTTTGGAAATATATTTTCAACTTCTGTTGAAACAATTATT